AATTTCAACACCTAACACTTGATAACTCCATATGATCTTCTTCCTTCTCTTATTCCATTTCACCATATTTCACTGCCCACGTTTTAAAGTTTTCTCCTTTTTCTTTTATTTGTTTTGAGATTTTTATTTGATTCATTGTTCTTCTTCTTCACAACAAAAGCTACAACATTCTTTCCTAAAAAATAAAAACTCTGTGTTTCCTCAGTTTCATCAATTAGGCCTTGTCAATTTTTCTTTGAAGAGTCTCTTTTATTAAGGGTCATTCTAATAGAGGTAATAATCATTAAATTCTTCATCTACTTTTGTACTTGCTCTGGCTCTATTCTCTGTATTTTCTACCATCATTGCTTGTCTTATGCATCTTCTAATTGGATAATGAACATGTAATGATTGCTGCACTTTGTTACATTCTTGCCTTGTTTAGGGTTTTAGCTCATTAGTGGTCCTTTCTGTATAATATGGGACCACTTAATCAACTTGTAGTCTCTTCATCATCAATGCCACCACAATTTTCATGTAGTTCCTTTTCTAGAATTTACTTTCTTGATCTTTCTCTGATCTGATTGTATCTAAGCTCACTCTCTTAAACTTTGATGGTTTTTCGACTAGGAAAGGGAGCAATGTCTGGACTAAAGATCTGGCAAGAAACAGTTATCACCATTGCGGTTTTCATCGTAGCGATACTTTTTGTTCTTTCATTTTGTCTCATTTGGAAAAAGAAATCAAGAAGATCCAAATCCTTAAGTCTTCCCATCATCCAAACCCCTCCGGTATCGAAAGAGATCAAAGAAGTCAGAATGGAGCATGTCTCAAACTTTGATCATGATCAGGAGAAAAACAGTAATGAATCTGACAAATTCTTGCTTAATTTGGATATTGAAAAGAAGAGAAAGAACGGTGCAAGTAGTAGCCGGTCTGGCTCAGGGGAAGAAGGTTCTCTATGTGTTGCAAACCGGTCTTCTTCATCATTGTATGATATGGCAACACCATCGCCTCTTTCCGGTTTACCCGAGTCACACCTTGGTTGGGGTCATTGGTTTACACTGAGAGATCTTGAAATAGCAACAAACAGATTCTCAAAGGAAAATGTGATTGGTGAAGGAGGATATGGAGTTGTATACAGAGGAGAGTTGACCAATGGGACTCATGTCGCCGTTAAAAAGATCATGAACCACTTGTGAGTTATATGATCTTAGAGAAAGATTATCTC